CAAAACTGTACTACTACATTGAACTTCTGTAGTAGTACAGTAGTGGTATATACTGAGGCTACACTTAAAAGGCGACAACCAGTGTTGTACAACATACACCAGATATACGGATAAGTACAGTAATTGGGGATCTTGATTTGGTGATAGACATGCGGCGTGTGAGTTGAAGCGCTTCATCTCTGACATTCCGTGTTGCGGATGCTTTCAAAAACGCCAGCAGATGGGCAAGGGTATGCGTACCGATCTCAATACACCATATTTGTGGCATAAATACAATGTACTACAACCTCAGTACGTAGTATTAGAGAGGTTTTGAAAGTGTCCGTTGGCACTTACCTGCCAGCCAAAACTAGAAGTCAACCTGTGAAACCTTATGTAGAACGTGAACGGGTTGTCTTAAATCTGATTGCCATTCCGCGTAAAGTGCACCGACTGGCATTCCAGTCTGCTCAGTGATAACTGCATATGATTGGCTGTTCTTGGCCAATCAAGAACTGCACGACCCTCCAACCAAACTTGACACGCCAGGTTTGAGTGGCGAGTGGTGCAGCTCTTGATTGGCATCCTCAGCGCCGCCGCGTCTCTAACTTCTTCATTCCCATGACGTCGAAGAGAAAGTCCAACAGTGTGTTGGCGTCGGACATAGCATTGAGGTTGTACTGGATGCCTGGGATAACTGGGCGCTCAACGTAGCTTAACGCACACATAACTACAATGTAAGAAACGACGTCGCTGGGTCGTTGTTTTGATCCTCGTCGTCTCCCCATAGAATCCTAGACAGATGCCGATCTTGAATTCCATAGGTCCGATTTGACGGCGTGTAGCCGCCCCGCACATGCGTCATACAGCATCAGAGGTTAGTCAAGGCGCGTATTTTATCTCGATTGCCAAGCGCAACGCTGCTTGCAAGGACAACTTCCACTGCGTGAGCACCATCGCTGGGCAAAGTGATTTTCCGCATCAAGAAGTTGGGCTACCTACTTGGCTCCAGGCTGTGGTGATTACTACTCTACGCTACCGTGCTGCCTGGGACGAAACGATGTGTATTAAGCCCGGCCGTCTGGCATTTCCAACTCGGTTTCCACACCATGACGCAGACGTGTGGGTGTTCACGGGGTGCTTTGTGCGCAATTCTTGTCCAATGTAATTCGAAGATGAAGATAGACATATTTTTTGTCGTTGTAGTGTCTCCATGCCAATCAAGAACTGCACCACCCGCCACTCAAACCTGGCGTGTCAAAAGTTTGGTTTGAGGGTCGTGCCTTTCTTGAACAGCCAATCATATGCAGTTATCATAATCACGGGCAGTAGTCGGTGCACTTTTCGCGGAATGGCAATCAGATTTATGAGGACCCGTTCGTTCACGTTCTACATAAGGTTTGACAGGTCGACTTCCGGTTTTGGCAGATAAGGCACTTTCAAATCCACTCTAATACTACGTAAGTACTGTAGTTGTATTGTAGTACATTGTAGTGTTTTTAGCATATGGCTGGTTGAACGAAACGCATCCGATTGGTGGATTGTTGTTGTCAGGTTGTACTTCAACATCCTCCCAAAAAATAGTAGCAATTCCAGTATTCGAGACGAAATATAAGTCGTCACTTCGTACTTCTGGTGTTCTTTTTCAGGTCGGAGAAATGCTGATGTTCCTCCAGGAACTAACGTGAGGAGGACTACTGCTGCAGTAGTACGAATTGGGGATGCAAGTTGAAACTGCAGCAGCAGTTGAATAAATATCTTAGGTGAATTGTCTGTTAACAAGACTGATGGCGCAGTTCCTGACTGTGAAGGGTACAATCTAGATATTGTCACTTGCGTTATTATATGTACAGTACAGTGTTACTTTGATAAAACGACTGTTACTTGAACAAATAACGTTTGAGTTAAAGTTTGGCCGAGGTCATGGACGAGAAGTTCAACAGATGACTTCAACATTGGAGGTTGTAGGCGACGTGTTCGCGTTCTATATGAGGATTTACAGGTCGACTTCCGGTTTTGATACTATTAATAGTAAGTGGAACGCGAACGCCAACGGACACTGCAAAACCTGCCGATTATGGTGTATTATGTGATGACGGGGACGCTGGTGGTGGGTG